AGGATGGCTTGAGCTCTGGAGTTTGAGACCAGCCTGGGCAACATAGCAAGACCTTGTCTCTACCAAAAATAAAAAAAAATTAGCCAGGTGTGTTGGTGCATGCCCGTAGTTCCAGTGACTTGGGAGGCTGAGCTGGCAGGATCACTTCAGCTGAGGAGTTTGAGGCTGCGGTGAGCTGTGATGGTGCCACCACACTCTAGCCTGGGTGACAGAGTGAGATCCTGCCTCGAAAATAAATAAACGAATAAAAACAAATACATGAAGATTAGCCTAGTACCTGGTGCCGAACAAGCACCCAGTACCCACCTGTGTGGTCCTCATCACCTGATCCTGTCTCCTCATTCTGCATCCCAAAAAGGCAGATGAGCTGTCAAGGTACCACCACTGTGAGTGGTAGATCCTGGGCTAAGAGCAATGATCTTCTCTGCAACAGTTCTCAAAGTTCTTGGCCTTAGGACCCTTTCTTCTCTTAAATAAGATCGATGGACTGGGTGTGGTGGCTCACCCCTGTAATCCTAGCACTTTCGGAGGTCAAGGCAGGAGGATCACTCAAAGCCAGGAGTTTGGAACCAAAGTGGTCAGCATAGTGAGACTCTGTCTCTAAAAAAAAAAAAAAAGAAAAAAAAAATTAAAAAATTAAAAATTAGTTGTGGATGGTGGCATACACCTGTAGTCCCAACTACTTGGGCAGCTGATGTGGGAGGATTGCTTAAGCCCAGGAGTTTGAGGCTGTGGTGAGTGATGTTTGTGCCACTGCACTCCAGTCTGGGTGACAGAATGGCAATCTTTCTAAAAAAAAAAAAAAGAGGGATCAATGAGTTTTTATATATATGGGTTATACTTATTGATATGGATCATATCAGAGATTAAAGCAAAAAATTTAGAATACTGCCAGATTCATTTACAAATAGTAATAAGCTCGTACATGTTACTGTAAATACGATTCGCAATGAAAATAACTATTTTCAAAACAAAAAAAATAGCCAAATGGCATTGTTTTACATTTTTGCAAATCTCTTTGATGTCTGGCTATTTAATAGATGGCAACTGGACTCCCCCGGCTGCGTCTGCATTCTGTCTGTTGCGGTGTGTTGTTTTGGTCGAAGTGTATGAAGAGAATCTCCCCTTGTCATGCCAGACAAGATTCTGGGCCACTGGACAGCTAAGAAAACTGTGGCGTGGGGAAGGTGGGATCATAGTGTGCACATCACAGGCTTGTCTGGGATTGAATGAGAGAATGTGAAAGTAGAGAGAAAAAAGTCTTAGAAGAGGATCTGGCAAAATTAGGCCCCCATGCATGTGAGCTACCGTTAAAGTGGTCATGGGGACAGACCTGACGAGGACAGGGAGAGAGGACAGAAATAACTGTAGGTGGGTACTGCTGAGGCAGAGGGACTTTGAAACTCTCATTCTCAACCCAAAGGGAGGAATTGGGGATCTCGAGGAGGCAAGAATTCCTGATTCTGTCTACAGCACAGTAGCCTCCTCCGCCTTAGTACTCCTCAGCTTCACGGTTCTCAGAGTCAGAAGTTCACAGCGACCAAATATGTACCAAAGCTCCAATGAGATAAATCCACTTCTATTCAGCGGTGATAAGTAAAGTACAATTGGTAATTCTTATAATGTGGGGATTGAATTATAAAAAGGCAAAAGAAAAGATAAAACTATGTACTGTTTGGATTAAGCTTAAATCCATTGCAAGCAATTGCAAAAGCCAAAATTGGGGGTGAAAACGGTCTCTAAATACGTCTTGCAAAACCCTTTTATAATCAACCTCTTTCTTCAGCCTTCCCCACCCTTTCTAAAGAAAGGTGATTTTATTTCCTCCTAAATCTGGTCACACATTGCCACTTTGAATTACCATCTACAGTTTGGCAGAGCGCCAGGGACAGTCTTGTAGCGGGTCAGTTGGTCCAGTCCCCTGCTTCTGAGTGAGTGAGTGACTGCTCGGAACCCTCAAAGAGAGAGTCAACAGGACTGGGCTTTAAAGATTCTGCAGACTCCCCAGTACTCTGGGATTAGAGCAGTCAGAAATGCTTTATCTCAGGGCTGAACCATTTACCTTTAAAATGTATGTCTATTTCCTCCCATGAATTTATCTAAGGGGATGAAGATCCAGATAGTGGGGAGGATGGATGGGAACATCCTACTGGAATTCATGTTTCTTGGGCTTGCTGGAAAGACTTCTCAGCAGACAGGCCTATAGAGATCCTTAACTGGGGATGAAGAGGAACGCCGCATCGTAGTAAAGAAAGGAACCTTTACTGGCAGAGTTCCTGTGCTTTTCCTTCCAGCAACCTGTCACAATCTCGGCTCTCCTCTCTCACGCTCCTTGAGGTGACTAAACTAAGCAGGTGGGGCCTCCTTTGTAGCCCTGTGTTGCTTCCAAACTATGAGCCAAAACCTGCTGCATCTTGCCCAGCGGGGATCGGGGACTTTGGCTGAAAGGCCTTCCAGGGGAAATCGTGTCACTTCATGGTCTGCTGGAGTTACGGAGGCTGCCCTGTTGCATTTGTGTGTCTAGTGCTTGCTGTGTCAACACGGATTGTCTGCAAACATTGTGTCAGGCCATAATCCCACAATCCAAGGTATGTGCCGGCACCTCCCTGCCTCTGGGCACGCAGGACGGCCATCTCATCCGACCCGGGGGATCTCATCTGACCAGGGGGATAGTGTGTTTGGAGAAATGAACCTGTGAGAGTGTGAAATGGCGATGTCAATGGTGGCATTCAGGCAGCACTCCAACGGTTTTCAGCCCAAAATGGATATTCAATAACAACTGTGACCATGCTTTTAGGTTTTTCACTTCTAATATTGACAAAAAGCCCAAAATTTCACTAGAAAGGCCATATTCTTCCCAAAGATACCTCTTACTCTCTGTGACTTCTAAAAATGACAAGAATATCACCATCTAGGGTTGTTTAAGCTCTTCTTAGTTGAGTAGCCTTGCCATTGTGGGAGATTATACCAAATGAGTTTTCTGAATATTTTTTCTTTTTTTTTTTTTTGAGACCGAGCCTCACTCTGTCACCCAGGCTGTAGTGCAGTGGCATGATCTCGGCTTACTGCAGCCCCTGCCTCCCAGGTTCAAGTGATTCTCCTGCCTCAGTCTCCCGAGTAGTTGAGACTACAGGCGCATGCCACCATGCTTGGCTAATTTTTGTATTTTTAGTAGAGTTGGGGTTTCACCGTGTTGGCCAGGCTGGTCTCCAATTCTTGACCTCAAGTGATCCACCTGCTTTGGCCTCCCAAACCAAAGTGGTGGGATCACAGGCATGATGAGCCACTGTGCCCGGCCAAGAGGTGGTATTTTTAAAAAGAATGTGTTGTTATGCTTTTTAATTTTCTACTCAGTTTCTGTTCTGTATTTCTTCTCCTTTTTCACCTACTTTGCTTTTATCTACTTTTATAACCCCTTTCTAGACTGCGATTTTTTCCATTTATATGTAACTTACATCCTGCTTATTGATACAAAATATGTGAGGTTGCTTACAATGGTATAGCATATAAATCAGGAGAGTGAAGGAAAAAAAGAGCACGGTAGCAGGAATCTGAGACATTTACCACAGATGAGCACCAAATTTTGATATAAGCCTAGAGGCAAAACAAAAAGCATAATGTGTCAGGTTATGGAGGCTTGTTTTTTTTTAAATCAAAAAAGAAGTTGGGCTTTTCTTAGTGGCTGTCATATTTCCGGTACTAGGTAATTCCATGTATTTTTCAAGAATGAGCTTCTGCCTCCCTCTTTTGTCATCCCTGTCCCCATCCCCTAGAATACCATGAACTCTGCGCAAAACCTATAGCAAGATATCAGAGCTAGGGCTTCAAGCTGGTGACGGGAAGCAGGGCCTTTCAGTGTCTTCTGAAAGCTGAGCTTACGGGCATTGGGTACAGGCTGACAGAGGCCACTCAGGCTGGTCTAGACATTCATCCTGGGGATGTGCCCAGCACCAGCCGAACCTCTGGTGAGAAGTGGAATGAAATGGAAGGGCGCGCTTTTTTGGAGAATCTCATTATCCGTTGGAGATGGAGCATACCTTTCGGAACTGGGAACCTCTTTCTACAGAGAGCCTGGGTTAAGGGCCCTGTTGCACCTGCTTGCTATCCTAAGTGCAAGAAAATGAGAAATGTTTTAATTTCCCCTTAGGAATGAGAAAATGCATTATGTTACTGTGAATATATATAGTCTCAGCAGATACTTATGGAAGAGATGTTGAGACTGTCAGGACTAAATACTTAAAATCAGGAAGCAGGAAGCTGTGCTGTTCACGTGCTACTAGCCACATGTGCCTTTTGAGCTCTCAAAATGTGGCTAAGTCCAAACTGAGATGTGCTGAAAGTGGAAGATATACACCAGATTGCAAACACTATTGTGTGAAAAAAAGATCTCAGTAGTAATATTGTAACGTAAACGATCTCAACATGTAATACCAATTACATGTTGAAATGATACTGTTTTGAATTTATTAGGCTATATAAAATATATTACAGTTAATCTTACCTATTTGTTTTTACTTTTTAATGTAGCCACTAGAAAATTTGAAATTAAATATGTGGCTAGACCAGGCATGGTAGCTCACACCTGTAATCCCAGCACTTTGGGAGGCCGAGGCGGGCAGATCACCTGAGGTCAGCAGTTCGAGACCAGCCTGGCCAACATGGGAAAACCCTGTCTCTACTAAAAATACAAAAATTAGCCAGGCATGATGGCACGCCCCTGTAATCCCAGCTACTTGGAGGCTGAGGCAGAAAAATTGCTTTAATCCAAGAGGCAGAGGTTGCAGTGAGCTGAGATCACACCCACTGCCCTCCAGCCTGGGCAACAAGAGCAAAACTCTGTCTCAAAAACAAACAAATAAAAACAAAAAAAATATGTGGTTCATGTTATATTTACATCTGAAAGCTCTGGTCTAAACATCTAGAATTAAATTTTTTTTGTTGAGTAAATTTCTACTGTTTTCTCTAATTCCTATGTTCTCTCTTTGGTTCTCTTTCAACAGATACAACTCCACGTAGCATGTCAAGGACTACATTAATCACCAATTCCTTTATTTTTTTCCCTCTTACAGTTTCCATTTTTTTTTTATACTTGCTTACCCCAGCCATCTGCAGTACACCAGTTTCAGGTCTTTGAGGTGTGTAGAGTTTCTGTGTGTACAGATGTGTGCTCGGACTTTTCTCTTTCTGAGAAATCTGAAGGAGATGGTTGCAGAAGATCCACTTACTACGCAGAACCATTACCGCTGACTCAGCCTCCAGGGTGTTGGGTGGTTTCTGGGTGGTCCCTGGAGCCTCCTCTGGGCAGTGCACTGTCCCATCTGTACGCCCCAATGTGCCATTCCCTGGAGGGGAACAACCAAGTGCCGTGGAGGCAGGCGATCATGCTCTGCCTCAACTGTCTGGTTTCCTGTAAAATAAACACATTACTTTATATTTTTAAGGAACAAAAAGTGCTGCTATAGGGTTCAAAGTTTTCATTCTGAACACTTTTCCAAAACAAATTACCCCAAAGACACATTTTGAATATCCAGGTCACATCTTTGGATCTGTAAAATATACCTTTTAGTGTGGCACCTGTTAAAATGCAAAGCAAATTTCTTTGGGGCAGAAAAACAATCTGACAGTGGCAATGTAGAATTTGTTCATTCAGATACATCTATGTAAATGCAAAAAGTCCTAAAAGTCACCTCCGAGCTGCTTGCTTTTGAACCTGCAGCAACTAGTCTTGACCGGCCTGGTTTGAACATCATTCTTTCAGAAGTGCTGAAAATGCTGCAGAGTTGGATAAATGGAAATGTGACTGCCCCTCTCCTCACTTCTTCCTCCCTGATCCTTCTGGAGCTTGCATCGGGAATGGCCTCTTTCTCTAACCATTTTCAGTTTGAGGGGGTATTGCTGAAGAAATCCAGCATCATTCCAGCAGTTGAAAAAAGGAAACCTTGGGGAGAAAGTACTTGAGAAGATTTTGTTCTTTGTGCTTGTCTATGAATAAGTTGTCATGAATAAGTTATTATTTTAACCCATCATTGCAGACTATTTGAATTCTTTGACACCAAAAAGGTTTCATCTTCTTAGGCACAATTAGAAAAAAATCCATATTGTTGGATATTTTACATTTAGTTTATTTATTCAAATACATAAATCTAAAGCTCAATCAACCCTTACTTCCAGTTGTGCATATTAAGAAGATCAATTTCCAAGTAGTAAAGTTTTCGGAGAAACTGACAAAGATTCAGTTAAGTTGGTCTTGTGTGCTGCTATTTTTTTTTTTTTTTTTTTGACAAATTTGGGGGTAAGTCAATGACAGTGAAACCAATCTCGGTGAAAGCTCCTATCCTCTCATGATGTGGGCCCAAGATGGGTGAGCTGGCACTGTACCCTGAAGCTTTCACCACTGTAATGAAGTATATGCCAGGGGAGACTGGGCTTTTCTCATGGCTGTGTGGGTTGAAGGTAGTTCAAGTGTGTGTGTGTGTGTGTGTGTGTGTGTGTGTTTGTGTAAAGTGCTAAGAACTGTGCATTGACATCCAAACATTTCTTGTATAAAATTTCCCTAGCAAAGCAAACCCACTTTGACTTAATTTATTTGGTAAATGTTGCACTTTGTTTATGTGTGTTTTGTTTTGGGTGGGGGGATAAGGGGAGAGAGGAGGACAAATTTTATTGAAGTCCTTATTTCGTGAAGATGGCAATTTTGCATTTGTTTAATTTTTTTTCCTTCTTTGATTTTGTTATCAGTGCCAGCCCAATATACCTGCTCCATCATTATTTACAGTCTGATAGGAGGGTCCTTGTGGGGCAGCGTTTGCAAAGCTTATCAGGTAAAAACATATGTGCCACATAACCTTGTTAATATGTTTCCCTCTAATTTGGGGAGGTAAAACATGGGTGTTTGAGAAGATTGCCATTTAATCATTGTCCTATTACTACTGTCCATTATGCAGTTGTATTACTTTTTGTTTGGAAATTGAAGAAAGGTCAGTGATGATTTTTGGTTCTTGCTAATATCCATGATAAAATAGATTGCTTTTAGATTCTTTCCAGTGTGATTTTTCCCTGGGTAACCCCTTTCTACTTCTAAAGAATTGCTCAACACTTTCATGTTTCAAAGGGAAACATTCACTTGTAGTTCCCTATTACTTGATCTTTACAAGGGACTGACAAAATTCGCTTTACTTTTATTCACAGAGAAAGTTGGCTTTGATGTCTCTTAAAGATAATTCTGCTAGTTGCTGATCAGCCAGTCAGTTCACCTAGCTTCAATCTTTAGAGGACTTCTAATCTAATTTTCCTGTACTGTGACTAAAAGGGAGGCAAATTATCAGAATGGATTATTCAAATGGATCCTTAAATATTGCTATGTATCATAAGCCAGTTATTATATCAGGACCATGTTCTCGGTAGGCCACTTTTTAAAAAAGCTACAATTGTGCAATTTTCAGGTTTTTAAACTGTTGCTCCCTGTACTTTAAATGTAAAAACTACACTTCTGAACAACTAAGCTCATGATTATGTTTTTGGTTATATGCAGCTTTTGACTAGTGTGTGTGTGTGTGTGTGTGTGTGTGTGTGTGTGTGTGTCTTTTTCTCCTCTATGAATAATTTTACACTTCATGCTACTTCTTGAAAGTTTATTCTTTGATGCTGTAAGAGAACAGCCAGATGGTTTGTACAAGTAATCTTTATCTGCAGGATAGGGGATTGGTAAATTAGGAGAATGTTTGAGATATCAAGATTTATGGTTGGGAACTGAAATATATAATGCCAAATATGTTTTTGTCAATTACTAGAGAATTCTGTGCAAACATATCATTTCTTCAAATGCTGCACACTTTTCTTTTGTTAAACAGGTAGTAGACAGAATCCTTAAGAGTTTCAGATTAAGACTTTTAAAGGAAATGGAATCATGTGATTAAGAAAATCAGAATTTATAGATATATTGGGATAAATGAAGAAATAAAAATGTTTGTTTAGAATGTAGCACCTAGTGACTTTTTAAAGCCCTGAAGTTTACATAAAGAAGCGCTAGTTCCTATAGAAATAACTGAAAGCAAATAAAAATTTTTAACAATCCCCTCTTTCGAAGTGCATTTTTTTTTTTTTAAGTAGGGCAGGAGACATTTGGACTCTAGCTATATGACATATTGGGAAAGTTTTTCATTGGCAGAGAGTGGGGGGAAGATTTCACTTCATTGTCTCACCCAGAATCTTGAGCAAGCTAAAGAAACCATCATAGTCGAAAATTGCTTCATTTAACACTAACAATTTAGCCTTTTTAAATGAAGCATTGAATAACGGCTGGATAACTGCCGAAGGAAGCGCCGCTCCGTGAAGTCTGCTTACTTATTTAAAAATTGTGTATCAATTTTAAATACTGTTCATTGTGTGCAGATATAAGGGGAATAGGGCATTCTGTAGAATTATACATGTCTAGTTTGTAAAGTGTGTCCTGTGTACTGCAGATGTGTGTTTTCTGGGCTTTATGTATTTGTACAGTAGCTTTCACATTAAAAAAATTGTGGACAAACTTGTTTGGGGGGTTTGAGGGGAGAATCGTGGTTTATATCCATAATGATGCTGTACTAGTCCATGGAACAAAAGATGGGGAAGTCACCCTCCCCTGGCCCGTGGAAAATTATGGTAATCTTCTAGGTTCTAAAATGAAGATGTGTGGGTACTCTGGCAGACTGCATGTTGTATAATTTGAAAAATACTAAAAGTGGAAAATAAAATTGAATTAAACTTTGGCTGGTCTGTTTCTCTTTATTTGAGTCATCCTGAAGGTACAATCATTGTAGATGTCAGTGCCTGTGAGGGGATGAGCCATTTTCTGGCCTCACAAGAGTTCACTTCAAGTGAGCAGGTGCTCCAATACACAGCATAAACAAAGTCAACCTTGACCATTTTTTCTTTGACTTTGCTTATATAGTTGCTTTAAAAAAAGTTTTTTTTCCATTTCAGAACTAAGAAAACTTGACATTTGTCACTTCTGTTCTGAAAAGATAGCAACTGATGTAAAAAAGTGTCTTATTAGCTTTTTAAAAAGTAGGATTGACTTTAAAGCTCAGTAGAGCAGTGTATTCGCTGAGTATCTGAATTCCTTCTTGCCTGAGAAGGGTGTTAATTCTCCACCTAATGAATTGGAGCCCTGTTTGCATATGTTGAAAGAGTATCGGGATCTTTTGAGGACTGGGTTGTTTATATTCCTGTTTAACCTACGGATTCTTAGTGTTAATGTATAGGTCTGAGATCTCTTGAGAGGACACCAGAGCATGAATCCTTCGGAGGATAACCAGTGCCAGGACACAGGATTATTTTTTATCTGCTCTCATAACAAGGAGACTTCCCTACCTCGGGTCACTAGAATCATGTGACCATGCATGACATTGTATATGTAAAGCATCCTCATTCTTGTGCTTGGTTTGATTAATGGTGCATGAGAGCCAGACAGTAAACCCCTTTCCCTTAATTGATTAAAAATGGAAGGGATAGATGCCAAGTGAACGTGTAATTGAGGGCACTGCAAATGGTGTGCTTTTATGCTGTCTTATCCATCTTTTTTGAAATTGTTATTCTCCCAAGAACTCTGAAGAGGAAGTTTCCAGATATCAGATTGTTAAAGGTGACTTATGTAGTGAATTTCAAACGTAGTAGTTGAATATTCAGCTGATGCCTGTGTGTTTTAGATGGGAAAGCAGTTCTCTGAAAGAACCAGATTACAAAGCAAATTTAAATATCAATGGGAAATGACCCCCACAGATCCCAGAACACAGCGGCTTTGCGATGCGGTTGGACTGCATTGACGCCAGTGTTCTCTTGGTTCCTGCAAGCCTTTCTTGAGGTTTCTTGTTTCCTCAAGCTCTGAACTGGGCTCTGGCTTTGCCTCAGAAGCACAGAGCTGGAGCATGTGTGGGAGAAAGTGGAACTGGAGCAATAATCTGCAAAGGCAATTACTGGTGACGTGTGTATTGGCAGGTTTCATTCTAGCATTTGCGACAGGTCGTGTCTTGTTATTTGTCTTGTATGCATAATACACTGAACAGAAATAGGAGGCACCCCTTGGGTGACACATTAGTTGAAAATGTGGGCTTACTTGACAAAGGCATCCTGAGCCATGGGGTTTTCACTTTCCTTTTGGTGTTTGGTCGTTCCTCCTCCAATTTGCAAAGAAAACACCAATCTCTCTGTGTGGTTAGTTGGGTTCAAAATAATAATAAAAAGATCCTGTAGGTAACCACTGTTGGTGGCCTGTCTTCCTGCAGTACCCTGCATGGCAAAGGCTGGGATTCTCTATCTGCTTTGCGTCCGCGGTGCAGGAGCAGTTTTCTCTGGATTTCCAGGAGGCCCTCTTTCCCATTGAACACCTTTCAAACCTTCACCCTTCCCCGTGCCCAGATCACAAATGATTCTCATAGTATAGCTGTTCAAGATTTGCCTACAACAATATTTTATTCCTTCAGAATGTAAGTGAAATTAGAGAAATTGACAAACTTGTTCTGGATGACATGAAACAACATCAGAATCTTGTAATGCACAGAAGGCTACAACAAGCAGTCAATTAATTCCAGGGCACTATTCTGGCTGTCTGCCAGACACTGTTTTAAGTGCTCCACATGTATTAATCCATCTAATCCTCCTAATAACCCCATGAGGAATGCACCATTATCTCTTCTTTACAAGTGAGGAAACAGGCGCAGAGAGGTTAAGTAGCCTGCCCAAGGTCTCACAGCTGGCAAGAGGAGGCGCCAGGATTGAAACCCACACAGTCTGTTTCTAAGGCTCATGCTTGCAGCAGCAAGTAATACTGCCTCTCTGAATAGTAATTGGGATATATACATATATATGTATATGTGTGTGTGTCTGTGTGTGTGTGTATACATGTGTATATACACACATGTGTACCTCTCACTCTATAATAGTGATAAGCAGCAGCCAACCTCAAAAGCCCTTTTGTAAAGAATTTATACAAAGCTGTGTGCCTTTGCAACTTTTCTATTCTCTCCTTTCATTGGCATCTGAAACCTCATTGTGATTTGAATTACTTTAAGCAATCAAATGTGTCTAGAAAAGAAAATAGTAATGAAGGAGGATGCCTCACAGCAAGGGTGCCTGATGACACTGAACTCTACAGGAAGGCTGCATTTCAGTAGCGCCCTTGTCAGAATCTTTTTCATATATAACATACTTAGAAGCTAAGTGTAGCCATTACTTCTGTCAGTTTTCAAATTGTGAGTCCTAAGAATTTAACTTATTATCCATGTGGATTTTTTTCTTTAAGACACCAATTCTCTCTGTCTGCATTAAAACATGTATAACCTATATTCTGCTTCAGTAAAAAGCTCTCAGTACTCTCTTGCCCCACTTGAAATGGCTCTCAGGGAAGGACTGAGGGGCACTGGATGAGCTTCCTTTCATCACCAGGGATGGGTGAAGCCTCAGAGGAGGCTGTCCCCTACCTCACTTCCAGTCCCATCATGATGATTAATAGGATTTCATTTTAGAACTTTGGGTTTTAGAAAAAATAAACATGCCAATCATACCACACAAGCATGTGTGAGTTCAACCACAGAAGGCTGAAACAGTGGGGTTCCTTATGAGCTCCTCCCTTTCTCTGTGCCTCTCCTGTCTGAGGGTGTTCTGATCGGCTACCTAGGAGCACAGGCTGGTGGCAGATGTGTCTAGGTGACCAGATGCTGACTCCTTCAGCCAGCGCCCAGCTGCCTGCCTACAGACCTCAACCTCCAGCCCAGCATTCTTGCTGCCCTATAGCCCCTTTCTGGGACCTATATGCAACAGCAAAATACCT